ATTGGTTACTCAGGAATTTTTACATAAAAGTGCAAAGTTTGGACCTAGATTTTTAAACAGTTGGACCTCAAATATGTTTTTAAGTAAGATTAAATACTTAATTAATGAAATTGTAGGAATGTGACTACAATGCCAAAGTTAGTACCATAAGATCAGGCTCTCAATGCAGAGGATGACAGACATCTCTAGAAGGCAATCAGCACCTAAAGTTATAGGGGACAAGTATGACGTAATGCTTTCACGAGCTTATGAAGCAGTCTTTAATTACGGAAATGAAAATTGAAACGGTAAGCTTAACTGTGTTGACACAAAGGATATGGAAGTCCACAGCCTGAATGCTTTTTTGCTGTTTTAATGTAATCTCTTGGTATTATCTTTTATTCATGTACACTGAAGCAAATTTACAAAGAAACTTCTCAACTCCTGCTTACAAAATAAAGCCAGTTTTTCCACATACCAGAGAACATAACTTGTAAGAATGCCAAATTAAGTCATGGCTTTGAAATGGTACAGAATAGAAACATCAATCTTTTAAGAAAACATTTAGGACAGATGTAAAGTCATAGATATCTTACTGGCTTTTTACCAGGACTTTGACTAAATGCGATGGAAAAAGCAAAATAAGGTTACTTTTTAACCTATATTGGCACGTGTAAGCATTTTCTGGAAGACGTACGGCCATCAGTTGTCCCTGAAACTATGTCACACCACCATTCATTGTTCCACAACTCGATGTGCTATATCCCAGAGACGGAAGGGATTAGGATACAAGTAATTAGGAAAGCAACAGTATAAATATCAGAGAGATAAAATGCATGTATATATATTTTTTTACATAGGCACACACAAATGCACACACACAAGACAGCAATTAACGTATTTTAAAACCTACGTATAAGGGAATTGCAAAGCTGCACAAACCACAGTCAGTAACTGTTAACACTGAAATTTTCTTGCAACTTTAGGGAAGTAATTAACCTCCTGGCCCCCAGTTTTCAAGCCCAAGGAGCAGATTATAGAATTTCTTTTACAATTTATGAACAAGCCCAGGAATTTATATCACAGTCAGAGGATTCTTTTGCCGAATTAACCCCAGCTCCCTCTGACCCTAAGAAGTCATAAACCAACAGGATACAGCAGAGGGAGAATGTGCTATAGTGTTTCAGCTGACCTACAGAGCGCTGTCTCCGTCATGCCAAGGCTGGAAACCCAGATGATGAATTACAGAGCAATATGCTAGGTTCAGATGCAAACATCAACCCCTTCCCTCTATGCATGCACATGCAGACATGTTCACTCACCCCCAACTAGCTCAGTTTCTGCAAAAGGCCAAGTACTGTTAGGGCTCATTTAGAGAGTCTTACTCTATGATAAAAGAGGGAAGAAAATTGCTTATCAAGGAAGCATGCATACATCTGTGAGTAACAATATTTAAGAACACATGCCGTTTATTAAATAAAAGCCAAAAACCCACTGAGTTTCTCTTTTTGTATATGTATTATTAAGCATATCAAAAATACAATTCAAAGCAGAACCAGCAAAACAATTCCGAACCCAAGAACTTCCACTTTTATAAAGAACAGCTTTATAAATAAAAAAAGGATAAAAAATGATACACAATTCTCTTCAAAAGGGCTCTGCCTGGCTTTATTTTGTAAATACAGAACAAAGCCTCTTACACAAAGTAGCTAATAAAACAAAGTCTAGCTGACCATGTGCACAGAAAATGGGATAACACAAACGTCTGCACCAGGACCTCAAACCTAATCAGCTGTAATTGCTAAGACATGAAGGTTCCTGCAATATTTACATTTATGGTGTACTGCTTAGTTGCACCAAAAGCTTAGCCCCAGCTGAAGACTTATCCACAAAGATTAATTCTCTCTTGAAAATGGACAGTGGCTGGTTGTTTCAACTCTAGCTCAGAATGAAAAGTAATACTTTGAAGTCCGACAGAAAAAAAAAAAAAAAAAAAGGGCACAGTTTTGAAGTAATTCAAAAGCACAGAATGTAATAGATACCAAGAGCACAAAGTATTCAACACTGCAACATGTAGAAACCAAACATCCATCACTGAATAAAATAAGTTTGTGGCTCCACTGTTTGATAAACTGAAAATTTCTTACTGCTCAGAAAATCCCTGAAAAGTTGTTAAGGATTTTCACGATGCAGTGAACTTTATTACTAAAAGCCATCAAATGAGTACTCAAATTTTTTTGGTACTGTTTGCACATGACACAGATTCCCTCCAGCGACTACCCTTACTTTCTTTGGAAATGATGCAAGCTATTCCTCAGAAAGCTATGCTTCCTCAGCCCCCCTGAACATTGGACAATTTCCTCTTCTGATTAGTCTGCATCTATTATGATCGTGAACAACTTGGCTGAAGTCTTCAGGTATAGCACAAGTCAAAACCACCTCTCCAGAAGTACAACATGAATCTAACCATGGCATTTTCTCACTAAACATCACATAATGCATTTTGCCATATAACTTACAGATGTGAATCACAAAATTCTCCACCAAAAATGTGATTGACATCACAACAGCAGTTAGATTGAAAGAGGAAAGGATGAGAGTTTATTCATCACAGGTCATTATAAATGAATTTCGCACGGCATTTTTCCTGAATTAGTAACTCTCTTTAAAATGAGTGCTCCCACCTTTTTAGGTAAAGAAAGAGGCCTTGAAAGTTTCCCTCCTTTGCAGTGTTCTTCTATAAGTTGTTTACATACTGCGTATTCCCGTAACTCCAACCTGAATCATCTCCTGGAAAGGTAGTTTCTCCCACCATATTTGATTCTCAAATGTACTGGAAATCTTCAGTGCCCTTCTATACTTCAAGTATGTTCAAAATGTCATAGTTTACTGTTTGTCATATAATAGGGGCTACAAATTTTGTAAGGTTCCCTAGTCAAGGTTAGAGATCTCTGGCGTGTGGTTTCATGAAAATCACCTTAGCCTAACTCCTAAATTTAGGAAAGCCTGCTTGAGAGCACCGAAACCTTAAATGTAACTGGTAGCAGCACACGTGTGAAAAGCATTCTCAGACAGCTATAAAGCACCTTCCCAAGAGCTATCTGCACTATCAACTTGAAAAACTAAGGCCTTTCTACTCTGTGCAAACTGATGTACAACATCAATAGCACACAGAAAACATACCTAAAGTTTAAGGAAAGGGCCTGTGAAATAAGAAAAAAACAAAAGCACCATACTAGTAAAGGCAATAAAGCAGACTCACCTGCAAAAAACACTGGAATGCAAGTCCAGAGTTTTTAACGAAGAATTAGAGTAACGTTTTGATATTCCTTTAAGCACCGGGGACAGGGGGGTGGTGGTGGGCGGAATCTATACAAGTCCTAATTTTCATGGAAGTCTAGTATGCCAAAATACCAGAAAATTAAAGGGTAATGTAGTTCCTCATTGGATGGCAAGGTGAAGGTAAAGAAATATCCATAATTCAAATACCATAACAACTTCATGAAAAAAGTTAACACAGATTAGAAATCAAGGCAGTCATTCCTAGAAGCCTGGACTGATGTGCTGAGTCACTAACTAACAATACTATTGAATTGCTTCCTTTTTACTCCTGTCTATCTGATTTATTAAAGTACAGCCCAGGTGGGTAAGTGGTTGGTCCTTCCAAAAGGCACAGCCCCAAGGGTTCTCTAAATCCTCATACCACATGCTCCATGAGTGTTGGGTGTTTTCTATTTCTTCGTATCTTCAGGAAGTCAAAAAAAGAAGAGAAACCCACAGCTTACAGGACAGAAGACTGAAGAGAAAGACAGAACAGGTGAGATGGCGCAGGAAGGACTTTGAAAGGAGTTGATAAGGTGGAGTTGTAGAAGAAAGAACAAGAATAAAGAGGAGGAATGGACAGAACTGCTGCACTGCAATTCTGGGTCTTGCCAGCTTTGACCTTCAGTGTCTTATGTGTCTATGATTATACAGTATACCTGAACCACCTGAGCAGAATGCATATACAGAGGCTTATATGCATGTTTTTACACAGCTGATATAAGGGATAATGTTCCAAACATGGAATTTTCTAAAGAATAAGAGCTAAAGATAAAAGTCAGGTTTAGCCTTCTATCCTGACTGCAAGACAAGGATAAAAATTTGCTAGTGTCTATAGCAGTCAAATCCAAAAATCACAATCAAAAAGTAGTAAAGCCTGTAATCTTAAGAAGTGGTCTTGATAGACTGAAGCGATTAAGACTTTTCCAAACATAGTAGAAAGCCAAATGATTAAAAACCAATGCTGTCATCTCCCTGCAAATCAAATTTACTTATGTGAAGTGAATGGAACGTCATAGGAGGTTATTTGTTAACTGATGTTTTGATTGACAAAGGCAAATCTATACCATTTTGTTGGAAACAAATTGCCTCAAAGAAACCCCTTTCAACTGCCTGCTACTTATTTGAATGAAAGAGTAAGCTCACAAAATGAAACCTATCAATATGACTAATTTATTTTCTGTGTGTTTACAGAAGCAAATATATAACATGATAGGGAAACAGTAACGCAATATAAAATAAGTTGCATAACTCAGATCCAGGAATAACAAGAGACCATCAGAATGAGTCAGATATTGCAACAGGAGAAAAAAAATAGAGTTAAATCATACTCAAGGTAGAACTTTCTAATCTGGTTAACATGGAGGTTGCGATAAGGTCAGAAGTTACATTAATATGAAATCAGAGTTTCAAAACACCTTAACAGCCACAGCGACGAATGAACTCATATTGTAAATATATATATAAATACTCATATATATATGTACACACAAACACACATATTCATACATAATTACAGCTGAGAATAGAATCTGGGTTTACACATTAAGCTGGTAAAACGTCTGAAAAAGATGCTGTGTTAGGTCGACCCGTAAATTTGCATTTCTGTTTGTAGATAGACAAATGGCAGACATACTTACAGCTACCTTGTTACATATTTAGAAAGCCTTCTCTGTTCATTACAATAAACAACACTGTACCTGTATGGCTTCGAATATGAACTCTCAGTGTTCCATTGCTTGCAAACTTCTGTCCGCAATATGGGCAAATCTTCTCTTTTTCTCCTGTGTGAGTCTACATGGGGTGGGAAAAGACAAGAATGAAAGCTCCAGCATAGCTTTAAAAAAAGTGAAATATGGAATATTTAAACTGTATTGACATTGACCACTAATATCTCCATTATATACTTTATACCATCACATCAGGCAGAGATTCTAAGGAATTAGCTATAGGTGTTCTTTCAATTTTCTTATATAAAATTTCTATAAAAATCTCATTATTAATGGCAAAATAAACTGGCTTTTCAGTTCCTAAGTTTATTATTTCCTAAATAGTTACTACTAAAAATGCCCAATTCACCTTTGGGTATTTTCATGATTGCAAGAATAAGACATCTATTTTTCTGTTTGATATCTAGGATAGTGGTTTCTAAACTAGCAAACAATTGTTTGGTTACCTAATAAAATTGATCTTCATAAATGGGTCTATTTTTAAAAGCTTATAATTTCACACAATTTTATTACATTATGGAACATAGCGGAAAATAGTTCACCTAACCTAGTCTTTTCCTAACTTTTCCTGTTGCAAACTTGAACTAGAGCTTTAAAAGGTCTCTATGGAGATTTGTGCACATGATTTCTGACTGACTGTCTCAGATGAACAAAACACAGCCATCAGTTCAGCTGAAGTACAACATACAACAATCCTTCAAAGTGCAAGGTCTCAGTGATTTCAGTCAACACAAATTGCACACTGGATCCTGTCTAGTTTGCAATAAATGCTAGAATCAGACTGCATTTAAAGAATTGATCACGAGAAGTTTATCACAATTGTTGCTAAAGCCAAGTCATATACTGGGCTTGTCTTTTGAAAACAAGCTTTTAAGGCTAGAGTGCCTTCCTGATATAAGAAGAATTATTTCGAAATGGAAAAAGAAAAATAACCACAAACTCTCCCATCCAACCTGTGTGGTCAACAGCAAGCCCACCTTGACCTAAGTTACATACACGACTTCTCATGATTTTTCACGCAGTACTCTCAATGCCCAATTCTGAACTGCAGATTTATCAACGTATTGAATAATTTTTCCTTATAACTATGACTGCTCTTTTAGTGAAGAATTTTGGATTACTTCATTTATAAGTGTTAATTTAAATGGGATAGGAAAGATAACACATTAAGTTATGTGTACAGTTGACTATTTGGGTTTCAAGCTTTGCACATGACTTCAGATAGCGAAATTAAGTCTTCTTTATATGAAAGACATTGAAGTGATATAAAATTTTCATTATGTCATAACAACCTTATCTCACATAGTATATATTATGCTGCAGCTGAAGGAAGAGAAAATGAGATATCATTTCTATATGGGACAGACTTGCATAGTTTTCATTCCCTGACATTAGGGATATGAATGTTAAATCCCTCTTGATTAGGATAGAGTTCTTTAGAAGTCACTTATCTCTCTAACAGCAACATTGGGGGACAACACACAGCTATTAATTCATTCCAAGCAACAAAAACAAACAAACAAAAAGATTTCCGGGAGCAATACCTTACAACTACAAGGCTCATAAACATACAGCTAGTCCTACTCTGACAGCAGCACAAAACAATAACTATTACAATTAAGAAGGAATGTCAAAGAAATAACAGAGACAAACGATAAACCATAGCTGCTTTCCTTTAAAAAACAAATACGTATACATATATGGCCATTTTTAACTTGAAATAGTAAGTCATACTGAATTTTTTAGAGGAGTCTGAAGAAAACTTCAAAAATTTATGCAGAACTCATCAACGATTCCAGGTAACATTTTTGATTTTTACGATCCATCTTGGCAAGATCCTTCAAAATGTTAATCTGAAATCAATACATCAGTATTATAGGCTAAGTCTGTTACTCAAGTGATTAAAACAAGTAGATAAGACAAAAAGGATTGTGTGTCTGAAAAGCAGTCTGTTTTTTCCAAACAAATCAGTTTGTCTAATGAAAGATATTACGCCTTTCTAAAGTCATGCTCCCCAAGAACATAATCAGAAACAAACCACAAGTTTATTTTGTGTACCCTATATTTGAGTTCCTTAGACCAATATATTCAGGCTCAAAAAACAAACGTGTTTTAATACTCCTTATTCTAGAAGTAATAGAAGAGAAGAGAGGAAGAATAATCTATAACATAAAGTTCTCTCTCTATTACAGCAAAACTCAACTGATTTCACAGGCTGAACAACAACTGATGAACCAGGTTATTTGAATCTCAATCATCTTATAGTACATGTACTGACATCTACAAACAAGGCAACCCCATGTCATTCTAGTTCTTCGAGAAATTCATCTTGGTTACACAGTTATGTCACTCAACCACAGGAAACTTTATTTTCCAGCAACTATAATTACTAAGTAACTTAATGCATATTAAATATGAGACAAAGAGCATTTAAAACAGACTGAAGGCAGACAGACAGCAAATGCATTAACATACATTTAATGGAAGATCAAGATCTTTAGAAGACCACAAAAGAAACCAAAGAGACTTTGTTCCTGGTTGGTTCCATTACTTTTTGCAATCTGTAGACATGTTAAAAACCAAAGACACATTAAGGAGGTGGTGTCGTCCATTGCATCAGAGAATTCAATAGTCTGCTATCTGCCAATATCTTGGCTTAGGCTCCAAAGACATGTGCTAGTTCCCACACCTGTAAGACATGGTAGGACTGGCAAGACACTGAAAGATTCCCTGACATTTTTTCCTCAATTTTAAACATAGATTTGTGTTGTAATGCACAGTACTCACCATAACCATGGACTGAAAATATTGTACCAAGTAGTTCAGTTACACTCAGTTTTATTGCAGTTTTACATGCACAAATGCAGTGCGTACTATATAGCAAATAATATATGCTTTTTCAACACACTCTCACAATCCGCATTTGGTGGTCGCAACACCTGAGCTGATTTTCCTCAGTTGATTTGTTCTTGATTCAATTATTTTCTTCCCATTTCTTCCCTGCAATGTAAATCTTACCTCAGGCCAAACTAGCGAACAAGCTTTCTTCTGAAGTTTACCCCAATTCCATTGCAAAGATCAAAGGAAAGGAGTATGGTAAGAGCAGTGCAGCAAGCTGGAGTACCTACACTGAATTTATGCATATGCACCCACTGCAGATTCTGCATATCACCAATAATCCCACTACTGCAAATGAAAAGCCAGAAATGCAGAAGCAACTGGGGATTTTACGTTTAGTCACAACCTTAAGGACACATAAGGAATGAATATGATAGAACTGATTCTACTTACTTTTTTATGACTCTTCAGGACTGAGGGTGTCACAAAAGCTTTGTCACAGAGATCACATTTGTATTTCTTATGTCCATCGTGTACAACTTGAATATGAACATTTAATGTGTCCTTTCTTTTGAAAGTAGCATCACAGTGATCACATTTGAAGGTCCTCTCACCTTATAAAGGGAAAATAAGGTTTAAAGATTTCAGATTTTTGCAGAAATACACTAATGCTTATTGTTTCAGGAAATTAATAAAAGCATCAAAGACAAATGAAAAGCTGGGTCCTGAGAATAGAAAGAAAAGGAACATCACATCAGGTAAAAATGTCATTGAGAAATTAAGAAAATAGTCATGACAACAATGAAGCCAGAAGTGTGAGATTAAACTCTACAGCCAAAGGTGAAATGGCAACCAGTGGAAATAGCTCCCAGTGAAACAGAGCACAGGTTTTATCAGCACCTCCACTAACAGACTCTTTTTACAACAACAAGCAAAAAGATTAAATAGGCTTCATTTTTTTTGAAACTTAAATGGTAAGAGCCATCTTCCAGAATTTAAAGGAATTCTCAAAACAAGAAATACTTGTGTTGAGTAACCTATCACATTCACATCAGTAGAGGCAAACTCGTAAGACAAAAATGAATAACTTTTAAGTGTTACAGCAGAATTACTGTTCAAACTGTGGTAATGTTGTTGAAGGTTATAGTAGATGCCAGGTTAATATTGCTAATAGTTTTAAAATTCAGTGAATTACCTAAAAGGGAGGGAAAGACATTGTATTCTGAAAATCTGCATACATCTTTTGAGAGAAAAAAAAAAAAAAAAACAACAAAAAAAACCCACACAGACATGTGATCCTTCAGAGAAATCCTTACAATGAACCGTCTCTTTATTGCTACTGTGAATGCAGAACAGAATATTCTATTTGTTAAATTCTTGATTAAAATTATGAATTAAACATCTGCAACACAGTATTCATTCAGAAATCCACAGTCTAAACCAGAAATCAGGTGCCCATATCCTAAAAACATTTTCAAGTAGTTACACCTCAGAGAAAGATCACCATCATCTAAGGACTATCCTCCACTTCTTTTTCAGGGCAGAGGTCCAATCTGCAGACTCCTGATCCATATGAATAAGATCAAGACTTGTATAAGCACAAGCTACTTTTTCCAGTAGCAATGACACACAAGTAGAAGTACGCTTATTTCCTTGCTATAGCTCATTAAAGGATAAAATCACCCCAGCCTTGGTCTCAGTGCAAAGGCCAGTATGAATGGAAATTGATTTCAGTATGCTGCATATTAAAGCCCATTTGATGCTACATGTTGAAGCACCAAAAAACTTTTTTCTTTATTATATATATTATACATGTGATAAATACAAATGAAGCTTATCAATACAGTGGTGCCTCAAGTACCCACAGACATTTCAAAGCCTAGATAACCTGTTTTTCTCCCCCATAGATCAACCATAACTGCCTGCCCAACCTCTCACACTCTGTTGGTTTGGAAACAAAAGTGGTTTTGTGTTGGATGACAAGAAGAATATGCTAAAAGTTATTAAGAGTGTTAAGTTGTCTTATCCTAAAATGGTTCCAGTGTAGCTGTTCTGAAAAATTTTCAAGGTCAACAAGGATGCAATTTAAAATACTGTTATGCTGAGTTTTAACACTGATACTGCTTCTAACTGTTCAGTGAATCAATTCAGTCCTCATCTTGGGAATATGAGACTACCCTGTCAACAAACTGAAGTCATTACTATTTTTACTAAAGTAACATTCAATTTTCTACTCCTTCAACAAAGGAAAAATATTCAAGTAATTTCTTTTAAAAGTTTCTCAGAGGAGCTTCTAGGTTTCATGGATTTTTATTTTTTTTTTAGGTCATTTGTTTCTTCCCATCTCTTAATAACTTAGCTCCAAGTCTGAATATAAATTGGGAAAAAAAAAAATAAGAAAGCAATACCAGACATAATTTGAACAAATTGCCATGTCTTCTAAAGTAAGAAATAAATTTACACAATATTTTTATGGTTTAGACATGATTCAACATCTCTTGAGTTTGAGGAGGATTTGTCCTTTTTATCTTAAAGTTTTGTTTGCAATCATTCCTATCACTTCTATTACAATTTGAGAAGAAAAGTGATTTTCAAACAACAACAAAAAATAATAAGGTAGTAAAAGAAGAACTAGTTTTCAAATAAAAAACCTCCAAAGTCAGGGAATTTCAGAACTAAAATACTGTTCAACGATATCTCTCCTCTGTGTGTACACATTATAATACTCTTCAACTATAAATAGTTGCAATACCAGGTATGTATTTAGCCAAGTCCTGGCTTCAGTTTAGCAACATTTTTTCAACATGCAAAGTAATGGGAAACCTATAATTGGGTATTTTTTTCAAATGTTGTCCTGGATGAAGGCAGACAACGTGTTTCTCCTCATCCTCCTTATTTAGCAGAAACCCTGTATCTCATTACAGACAAGCCATCAGAACACTGTCTCCACTCACAGTTGGCTCACTGAACAGTCTATGTGTCTTGGATTTTGTTTATTTTTTTTTTTTAAGCCATAGACAAAGATATGTGAAAAGTTAATAAAAAAAAAAAATCATTAATACACAACTATGGAAGGAGTTTCAGAAAGCTCCTCAACAGCATAAAGCAAATGTCTAAATCACTTGCAACAAGATGCGAGTCCTAGAAACTCCCTGAACAGCTCTGGAAATCCGCTGCAGGAAAAAACAGAGCTATGCAATGATATGTCATTGTTGTGATAAAGAGCAAACAGATTTCATATGGTAAATGTAAGAATATGTCTGCTGCTTAAGAACAGTCACCGCCAAAAACCAAATTCTTTCCACTGCCTTTGGCAGATAAGCGTAATATTAAAGTTACCAAATAAATTTCTAATATTAATGTATAAGAAACAAAGAAAGAACTTCCGTTATATTTTTTCAGTCAATAGGTTTGTGCCGTGCTAGATTGAGAGGTTTGCTACAAAATAGCCAAAGGTATACACAGATTCTCTTCAGGCCTAGACACTCTAGAGAATGGAAGTAAACAAGAAAGCATATCATTGATTTCAGCGCTTGAAACCACTGAAGGAGGGAAACTTTTTCAGAGTACTTGACATAAAACTACGATATCATATCCATAAATGCCTCCAAAGACAGAAACAGACTGCTGATGTAATATATACTATGGTGCTTTCCCCCAGAAATACACAACATAATGTGAGTGTCTTTCCTAGGACTGGTTTTATCTACTCCACTGATGTACTCTCCTTATGACAAAACAAGATAACGAAAATCAGGGCTACTTGTACTTTACTTGAAATGAGCAATTTCAGTGCCCACTTCTGCTGACCACTGTAGACTGAGCTAATTAGTATTCCTCTTACTAACTAACATTCTGCATGTAGATTTTTACTCTGGAAATCAAATATATAAAAAGGATGATGTTCTTCTCAACACATGCTATCTTATTCATGCATGTCTCCACAATTCTAGACAACTGAATGATCCAAGCAAAAATACTCAGGGTCACTCATTCTTGTTAGCCAGGTCCCTTATGGCCTCATGAGCTGGTATCAGCCAAGTATGAGCTACCATACACTTAGGAAGTATATATGATACATGATAAACACCACAGTTGAGGATAAAGGGTTAGCCCCAGAATTGCCAATGACATAAGGAGAACACAGTTACCATGATCAGTAAGTATGATCAGCAGCACGCCTAAGAGAAAAAGCTTGTCTGACTCTCAGAAGACATTTACACAATTAGAACCTGACAGGAAAAAAAAGAGTTTGGGGTCTTTTTTTAATTATTTGTTAGACATATTTGGTCTTGAATTTTGAAAGTTATATCCATGATGCCTCTTCCAATTTCAGACAGGAACACGTGAAAAGTGAGTTTATGAAATATAATTTTTTCCAGTAAATTGTTTGTAAAATAAAATTTGAACAATTCTGTATCATTCTGAAGAGTGCCCAATTCTAAAACAACAAAGGGATACTGAATTTTAAAAAAGTATGTGATGCAGGCTGAACTTCATTTTTTCCTAGAAGTTTCAAACTTCACAAACAATTTTTTCTTTCTTACAGCACAGAACAGTAAAGCCAGCTAAACACACCTAGAGATTCTGCTTTGTTTCTCTCCTCTCCTTATAGAACAGGTATATTTCAGTGCTATGAGAGGAACTATCATCCAGCTGTAGCAGGACAATGCCTATAATTCTGAGTTATTTCAAAAATGAGAGAGTCATCATCATGGCAGCACCACTTGTCAGTCTCAGAGTTAGGTCATGAGGGGGAGAATTCTACATTTCTTCACTGGGAATACAAGCAGTTCTCAGACAACAGCAGAGCCCCTTGTTTTAATAACAGTCTTGAACTGAAAACTGTTTATTCTTCAGTTCATCCTAGTAATGACTTTCACTTTGCTATTGGTCTGTCAACACTTCTTTTATAGGAGTCTACAGACAAGAGAGATGCAGTATGACTATAAAAGCTCCACTTATATTCTGCAGTATTAAGGCCTCCTTGTTAAGTCAGTCAGTTGCTGGGTTCTTTTTTTTTTTCCCCAAAGTAAGCAAAAAAAGGTTTAAAAATCTTCCCTGTGATTAATAAAAACACTAAATATTACCAGTTTAAGACTATAACTCATTTTGGAGACAGTTTTAGCTAAGATGGCAGCAGTTACGACCTTCAAACACCTACTCTGTCCTTCAGCAAGATACATCTCTCTCTGCACCAAGCAAGACTGACTAGACAGTGTCTGTGCCACTGCAGCTCACAGTCTGATATAGCAGTTCACAGTCTCATATATTTAATATTTACTTAAATAGTGGTGGTTCAGGAACAGCTAAATCTGCCACAAATCACAACCCTAGCTCAAAGATCTCAAATTTCCTAAGCTCCCATCCTCTTCAAAAAAAAGTCAAAGTATATGTTTTTAGAGAGGTCTTTACCAAGGCCTACAAATCTGCTGTGAATTACTGCTTTTGGATATTCTGCAAATGCTTAGTTCGTTAGAATACACATTACTGAACAGGGTAACTTTCCTCCCCCATCATTTTTAACATTGGAAAAAGATTTTACAAAATTCAATGCTTTATGAAATTGCAGAAGCTTTGAAAGATAATTGTAAAAGAACCAACTAAACACACCAGTCTAATAATTCATGTAACAGAAACATGGTTATACAGGATTAAAAAAAAAGAAAGGTTTATAGTTTTCTTAATTATGGCAATGTAAATATGCCCCAAAGTACTGTCCTCTAAGCTGCAAGGATTTTAGATCATGAATATTTTCCAAAATCTAAATTGCTGACATTCACAGGGTTGAATGGTAGTCTAGGGTTCTGTAAATACTAAAGAGAGAGAAAATTCCACCAAAAATAAATCTTTACACCTTCAGTTAAAAAATAGTACAGAATGCCAAGAGCAAGTTACTCATGAGGGAAATGGTCACAGCATTTCTCTGGGTTGCTAGTTCTATGCCAGATGCAGAAAACATTAGCCTAGGCTGACACAGAAGAAAGAATCTGTTTCAAGCTCTAAACTGGATTACCTACAAAAGCTGAGTAAGCCAATAAGTTATCTCTGCTTCCATTTTTCCTTTCTTAAAATGGAGGTAACACTATCACACTTAATGCAGAAATACACCTCTTGTCATCAGACCTCAAATCCTTGCTAGATTTTTCTATAGTATATTTGGATTTACATTTAAGTGCATTTAAAGACAATGTTTGAATTTGGCTCTGAATTTTCTAACTCCCTGGGGTTAGAGTTGAATGTTAATACTAATTTAATATAGCAAGTTGCACATTGGAGCAAGGTGTTGTATGTCTTTTTTTCTCAATCAAACGTGAGAACTGAGGAAGTTCTTTTTCCTCTCTGACTTGGCACTTACTGTTATGGATTAACAGATGTCTTTGTAGAGAGAATGGGGTTCGGAACAAAGCTTTGCATTCCTCACACTGGAATGGTCTCTCTTCAGAATGTGTCTGCAGATGAAAGACAACATGTCAGAGGAAAGGCTCAGGGAAATCAATTAGCTCTCATTACAGTAATTATAACTTGTTTTCTGGATTGGATTCAGGAGAGGATATCATAGCAATTTGAAACATCAGGGGATGAAGAATTAAAACAATCATTCTGCCACTATCCAGAATCCTGAAAGTCAGCATAGCAGCTACCAAATAAATATACCTTCCAGTCCTCAGGAGTGTTACATGAGGTGTGCACGTAAACAGAAACAAAAATATAGAATAACCAGGAAAAAAAACACAAACAAGCTCAGTTACATTGCTTCATCAGTACTAACACTGGCCTTAAGTATTTACTAATATGAATAAATGCTTTAAAATTAAAAATCCTTATTCTCAGTTAAGTTTGAAGGTAAAATGGATATGATTATCTCAAGACAGTATCTAAAATTTAGGAAAGAAAATTTCTCAAATCACGAGACTAGTCTTACATATCCTCGTTTCAGCTTCTTGTATTAAAAGAAAAAAAAGAAAAACCAAACCAACCAAACAAAAAAAGATAGAAGTATCAGTACTGAGATTTTTGTTTGCTGTAGAAAAATTCGTCATAGCTGAGAAACAGCCTCAAAGCCATAAATAAAATAAAAGGCTAAGCTTGGATGAATCTCTCAAACTGCAGAGTTGCTGAAGCAGATTTCTTTTCTAGAGCTTAGGAAAGATCCAGCTTCATTCTACTTTTGTAAATTTCAAAGCACTTTCCCTGTTTCCTAGTGCTATTAAGTGTTGTCCCACTATAGACAGTAAATTTACCTGTACAGTTTATTATCTACCCAATTTCCTACTGTTTTTGTATAGGAAAGCAAGCTTTTAAAGCATCACTGTCTGAACATTGTATTAGCTCACAAGGAACTTAAGTAGAAGCTGCAGTGCCAAGAGGAAAAGGGGGTGGATAGTAAGTGTTTCATAATATGCAGAAAATCAAGTAAATGAGTTAATTTTGTAGACTAAGGGTAAATATTAGCATAGCAGATATTTATATAATTGATTTCTACTATTCATAATACCGTATGACATTTATAGCTATCCTTTAAACCATGGAGAGAAAAAAGGGACTGTGGGGAGTCAGCATAATTATTTAGATGTAGACTGAGGGCCTTGAACCTAGATTGATTTTAACACAAATGTCCTCTTACATACACAACAGTACCAAAATATTATAGAGTACTTGCAAAGGTATACAGAGACTTTGGATTAAAAGTCAATTCCTTCACCTCAGCCTACATCAATTAAAGCAAATAGGCAACTGGAAGACCATTAAACGTGTGGAATATATCACACATTACATAAAATCTGCTGAATGTTTCAGTCCAGCTTCTACAGGTTTACATCACGGTCTGCATTAGTCGACACCCTGCTTGGCAGTCTCAGCAGTCAGGCCAAGGATTGACAGGACATGAAGAGACTGAACTACCTTCTCACCTCAATAGGTGGTTCCTCCAGAACAGGGTTGAGACATATTGATGAGACACTGTGGGGAAGCTCGCAGTGCTGCTGTCTGTGCTGTACCTGTTCTGTGGATAAATAGAAGGGTTCAGTCTCTAGGGCTGTCAATCTGGCACCTTTCACGAGCGCAAAATTCATGTTGTTTATTTTTAAAATGCCCTGTTTTAGAACACTTATCACCTGAGTGATAGTTCTGAAGAGCACAGTGATTTGTACAGAACTCTTTCTTAGCATCTCCTTGACAGTTCTCCTGGTCTTTTGATCAAAATACAACTATTCATCTGCATATCTTAACTTCACTACAAAGAAAAACATCTAATAGGCATACCCACATGCAAGGGTACACAGATCACCTGTCTCTTCTGTGAATGGTACAGAAACAAGTTAGGTCTATTACAAAAAGTCATGCAAATCTTAATGAGAACAGGTATCCCCCCAAACAAGCATATTAGTTCTAATACTGTCCTTTTCCATCCTACTAGTAGACATGGCTTCCATTCAGTCAGAGCAGGGGACAGACATACGATAAAAGCAATGAAGGATGGGCTCTTATGGAATGTTTCATGGCAGCCTTTCCTACATAGCATTTGTGGATGCTTAAACCCAGCCCAAGGCTACTTATTCCCAATAGAGAAACTGAGGCAATACAGTTGTTTCAATTCATTATGCTCCCCAGGACTAAATAAACCTGGATTAACCATAAACCCTTTAAAACCCTGTGTCTGCTGACCTAGTTCTGTTCACCATCATATCTTCATATTTTATTCTCTGAATTCATCCTCTATACATAGCAACAAAGGAGCAGATAGAACAAAAACTTTGCTTTCTCCTGTATGGAAGTAATCTGTATCATACGGCACAGAACATGCACCTTCATCCAATCTGACCTGGATGAAAGGTGACTACTTTTAAGTGTAGCACAATCCAATATTACATTTGCCCCAATTTCAGACGCTATTCTCTTCCCTTGTTAGAAAAACGGAACCGTATTCTTCATATGATCACCTAGTCATATAGTCTGAGCTTTTTCAAAAGACATCTGAGCTAGTTCCACATTGCATAACACTTCTCAGTGCTGACATCTCCAAGTGAGTGCCAAAGCAAGCTTGCACATGCACCTGCACAGAGCAGCATAGGACTTGCATGCAGAAGCAGTCCATCAGAGGGGTACCACAGGAAGGCTAACAGCTCCTGCCTCTCGCATCTATAACTATAAGGGCATAACGAGTGCTAAGTTAAGGTTCGCGTCACAGTGCTCAGCGGAAGAGAGCAGATACATTCAGAGCAACTCCACTGTCTATCTCCCAGTGAAGTCCTGTGAAATGTGAGGAAGTAATCTCCTTCTGCACCTTTGAAATGACCCAACATTCATCCACATGTGAAAGATGTTTAAAAGCACATGTTGTGGGAGCCATATTTATTCCGATACTTCCAACACAAAATCAGATTAAATAACTCCCATATAGGAATCACAGAAACAACAGCAACAACAGGTTTCCATCTAAAACACAAGACAAGAATTCAAAGGTACAAAATGCATATGTATCCTGTTTCTTATTATAAATAAAAAGTATGTAGCTCTGCTGTAAAACCCAATGAGTTTTTTCAAGCGTGTTGCTGTTAATCTTGAAATCACGTGTCCTGTTAAATGCTTTTGATTTAAGCGTTTTTAACTACTGTACTCATCCTTCCTACTGCAAGTTTCTAAGTTCCCTGCTACTAACACAGTAACTGCCTCCTGGCACTCAAAGCACTGTGAAATTATTCAGAGTCCATCTTTTCTTCCTCCAAAATAAAATGAAACCTACGAGGGTGTCTTAAAAGAATACATTCCTAAAGAATCATTAAAGACCCGAGCAGAAGAAATATATAGAAGTATGATACACAATAAAGGTTTAAATTTCCACTGTTACTGGATCAACAGTCCTGTGAACAAGCAAAGGACTATCATCCTCTTCCCCAGTAGCAGTGCAGCCCTCCCAAAATCATGGCACCTAAAACTTAATTTGGCATCTCAAACTACCACATCCTTGACTTACACCTTACAATTGGTTTTGTGTATACACATCCATACTCCCCTCCGTTACCTACTACCTCTCCTTGTTTACATTGTTTACTCAATGGAGAGAGGCGTGTCTAAAAAAGGCAATTCAGGTCATCTATGTCAGTCTCCTGCATCTCATGCTCATCTCTTCATTTAACAAGTGAAATCAGAGACCTAAATGTGGATGGGTGAATATTCACAGCTGTTTGGCTAAACTTTATGTAAACACAGGTTCAGGAAATAAGTATTCCAACATGCTTTAAGGAATTCTAAGGTACTCATTAAATCTGTCTAAATTTTAATATTTTTTCCATTAAGTGGAGCCTCTAATCCTTGCTTATGCTAGTGGTGGTGCTGCTGCTTCAAACACAGAATTGGGTCAAAGTGTTTACTCATTCATACTTAATCCTGAAGTCCATTTTCAGCCCAAACTCCCTACCAGTCATTAAACGTAAATTAACATAAAGAAACATGTAAAAAGTATTCATTTAAGATACAGAAGTATCTTTCCAGATAGTATTTTACACATTTTCCTTGGAATATATCCAATTTGTGAGATTCTGCCCCATTTTCTTAATGAAGTCTAAAACACAAGATACAATTACAGCATATATGAGAGCTAATCTTGTCCTTCAGCAGGCTTCTGAACGCTTTCTGTTTTAGACAGTCATCACCATTTCATCCTGCAAGAGGCATTATTATTACTCTTACATGATTTATGGCTGAAAGTGCAAGAGATGGTGCAAAGACCCTGTGCCAAATTCCCAGATGGCATATAACATGAGCCAAACTGCAAAAGACTTAAGGATGGGTATATCAGTTTCATCAAAAGGGGGAAAGAAAGGGATAGTATTCAAAAATTGTAAAGAAAAAAAAAAAAAGAAAAAGAAAAAAAAGCAAAGGGTTCCAAATACTGGGCATAGAACCATACAGGTAATTTTTTTTTTCTTTCTTTTTTGTAGTCTTGTAATTCTGAAACAGCAGTCAAGGATATAGCCTTGCCATTAAAAATGTAACCCCAGTTTAAACATAATGACAGATAGTCTAGAAATTAGGCCAAGCAGATTTGAGCTTAAATCAACATAAGCGGAACATCCCTTCATGAACCTGTTTTTCAGGTAACGTTCCTTTTGATGTTTTAATGTGTGAACACTACCCAGTGCAAATCCAGTACAGTTTGAAAGTATCTGCTGCTAAGTCCAACAATGACTGCAACAGGACCACACTTAGTTGTATTCAAATATGGCATTTTTTTTTAAAAAAAAAACAAAAACAAACAACAACAAAAAAACTCAGAAACTTGAAAATAGGGATTTATTTGATGCTTTTAACTGAGCAACTATGATTTCCTTCTGCTTATTCACTTTTTTTTTAAACTAGAATTCATTTAGTATTTTGAGATTTTGGATATAACAAAGAACACACACAAAAAAAAAAATCTCCAATACTTTAATCCCATGTTTATAAGCATGCCAGAGCTTAATGATGAACCACTCAAAAGAAAAAAAAAAATAATCTGCAAATCTGAGGCTGGCAGACCTGTAAACAACAACAGCAGAGTGCTTTACCTTCTTGTGATTCTTGTAAACATTTCTGTGGGCAAATCCCTTTCCACAAAGCTTGCATTTATAAGGTTTATCTTCACTGTGTATTATTTTGTGTGCAGTCACTTGATCAAGTCGTTTGAAGGACTTATTGCAAACCTCGCAGGTGTAGGGGCGTTTTTCTGCAGAAAATGAGTGGGGGACATTTAATCTCCTGTTTATACAGGGGGAGAAGATGAAAGGCAGAGACAGTCATCTCCTCAGAGAGATTTCTGCAATTAAGTCAACCCAATTAAGATTAAACCAATTAGAAAGACATCTAATGCCCTTTATGTTAGACAGTTAAGTCACTTCACAAAAGATGAGCCATGGTGTATCTCAAGAAATTGGCACATTCTTTGCAATAATCATTGCTAAAACTAAATTCTGATTAATTAGCTTAAATCAAAAGAGAATGACTTCAAAGAGGAAAAACTCTGTTTCCAGATTACAAATGTGAAAGAGGGCATGACAGTTTAAATGTTTTAAAACTTAATTAACAATATACATATTAGCTTCCAAAACCGAAAGTTCCTATGCAAAAAGCCTTTACGCTTCAACTGGTGACTGCAACTTAAACTACATTAATGCTCATCCAAAAGTGTGAAAAGAAAGCTAGGAGCCTCTGAGATACAGATTATGTTACATTAAATGAGCTTTTGGTGTGGACTGATACCAAGGAAATAGTTCAATTATAAGCCTGTGCAGCTGTAAAAACCTGCATTTTTTAAATGCTAATGTATTTGACAGAACAATGTTTGTATTTCCATTGTGTTGGTTTATGTTTCTAATCAGCAGTGAAAGTCATAGAAACACTAGATTGCAGTGATCAGAAACCCTGGCAGAGCCAATTTGTGTCATCCTGCCAAACCTATGGAGAGGCCACTCCCCACTCACAGTGACCTGTTCTGGCAGAGGACAGGCACAATGAAACATTTGTGTGTGGTCTGTGAAACGGTGGAGTACGAGCTGCTTTCCTCTGACTGGAAACTATTTGCACATGAGTCCACTTATATATATATGAATGAATGCTTCCCTTTTTATCACAGATCTCTGTCTAACAGCATACCCCAGCTCCCATCCTCTTCTCTTCAACATGAAATTTCAACCACCGGTTCTTCACCTCCTCTATAAGCCAAGTAGCAATCTTTTGCCCCATCCCAGCTAACTGACATCACCTACCCCAGCTAACATGAGAAAACAGCTTGACAAAGCAGCAACAGGAAGAGAACTATAGCGTTACACTTGGATTTTTGAAAGGCTTAGAAAGGATAGCTTAGATGATTGCCTTGGAACCTGAGATTTGTTTGAACAGCACAGGACAACACCACAAAATTCATCAAGCCATCTATAAGAAACTAATTCAGGTAAAATTCAATATACATTAAATACATATACACATATATATAGGTTTGTGTTATTTTTGTACATTACCTGAATGAGTTATCATATGGCGTTTTAGCTGGTTAGCCGAAATAAATTTCTTGTCACATTCCTGACACTCAAAGATCTCATGGACCTGCAAAATGAGTGTTTAATGACAATTAAATATGTGTCTCAAACAAGATCACACATCTTGCATATACAGAAATTCTCTAACAGACCGTAACTACTTCTTAGCCAGTAGCTATACTAATACTCATGAATATTCTGTGAATTCCCTCTTGCTAGTTCCTTGGTGAACAATAGTATCTCTCAAAAAATATTCAATTGCAAGCAAAAAATTATCACTATAACTATATCTAGAAACAGAGGTTATGCAAATTTGCAATATCAAATCCATTTAAAATATCATTATTATGAAAGCATTAAAAAAAACAGATGCAAATTACCTTTTCAGAACATTTTCTTCTAGTCAGTAAGACATAAGGAAAAACAACACACTAACTACTCCATAACTGCTGTAAGAATTTTAAAAAACAAGTACTAACAAACTCTTTCAGGATTGTTTATCTTAAAAGCTTTTAGAGGCAAGACAGTGGAGGGGTAGCAGCGCCTCTGAAACTGTAAACGCAGTAAGTATTAGTAGGATTTTCAACATCACAGCACATAATGTCATTGAGGACTAAATGTCAGGAAAATAGAAAAGGTAGTTGAGACCTGCAACTTCTGATGCTCAATTAAAAAAAATATATATCCTGCGTTATTTATTGTTCCTCAAAATCACAACACACGTGTAGTTTTCCACCTGTCAAGATTACCATTCACCTTCTGCTCTGTATTGTATTTGTGATTGGCAGCTTCCCCTCAACCTAGTTACAGCGCAACTGAACATACATTTCAGCTTCCTGGAACTGCAGCAAAACTTCCAGGCAGAGATCACATTTCATAAAGCTTTTTTGAAGAACTCTATAGACTTTCTGTAGGATAATCGAGCAGCTAAAAATAACAAATATCAAAGGTTCAACACAATATTCTAATGAAAAACACTTGTGGACAGCACAGTAAAGCAGCTCAACTAACATTTCCACTTAAACAAACAAAAAAACATCAAAAAGAGATTCTCTGTAAGTATTCTGCCTCTTCATGTTTTTATGCTGCTACTCACAAAATAACTTTTGAGCAAATTAAATGTTTTAATAAACTAAAAAGTGGTTATGCCATTTCCTACAATCTCTGCAAACTCGCACACTTTGGACCTAATGCCTAATGAAATGCTCAGAATCGGATGGTAAGCTCAAATGAAGATCATTTATCCTAAATATTCTGTTTACCTAGCTGCATTTCAGATTAATTTCTCATATATGCACACACAACCTACTACTCCATTCTTTCGCAAAAGATCAAAATTTTTACTTAGATTGTTGACTGAAGTTTACATAATTCTGCAATCAAGTGCTATTAAAATCCCCCCTGACACAACTATTTGAAATAACTTTTAAGACATTCTTAAACATAATATTTAATACCTCAGAACTCAGACTACACTTTACTACTGTACAAATGTCCGATTTCAACTTATGAGCATTGTTTAATAAACAGTCTCATTGAACATATTTGCATCAAAACAGAGACTTTCGTGCATGTGCATTAAAAAGCTACAGCTATCAAACATAGATTCTATTGCTGATACTCTTTAATCAATTGTTTAGAAAAGAATTAGACACAGACTTGTGTGTATGTGCATTAAATAGCTGTAGCTATCAAGCATATATTCTACAGCTGGGACTCTTTAATCAGTTCTTTAGAAAAGCGCACAATTACATGGTAAACAACAGTAATAAAATATGGCAAATATCTTTATGAATAATGATATTCAAACATATTTTTATTTTAAGAAAACTTGTCAAGTAACATGGTCTGTGAATATATAGGCTGTAATACCACAGACAAGTGCTCATGCAACGATTTATTCATGTAACAAAATTAGTCTCATTAGGGGGCTGTAACAGCTATCAAAATAGACCTCTGTTACATTAAACTCAGAACATGCTTACAATTGTTCCATAGGCATCTGAAGAGCTACGCTTTCAGATAACAACCTGCTAAATGCTATACAAAACAGCAAGCATATGAACAAGATTAATATATGCTCAGATAAATATACTCCTTCACTTACAGGACTGACAATCTTCAGATTTTCATGAGGTCTACTGAAAAGCAAAAGTTCATTCAAAAGAGTTTTGGGGGTGAAACTGAGCTAAAACTTTGAATATACAAGTAATCCACGATCAGCTTTTCCAAAAACTAATGTGAATTTCAATCTACCACTCCAAGAACTGGATGAAACTGTCTGTTGGAAGGCAGTGCTTCAAGGGAGCAAGGACATGAGAATCTGGCATCCAAGTGAAATTATTGAATGTTACTGACAATTTTAAAGTGGTGTTCAAAATTTCATTTTCTCTACCTTTCTATGGCTTTCATAGTAATTATGAAAAATAAAGATTGCACAGTAGAACAGAGCACTGCCTAGTGTTTAACAAAAAGGGCAGAGAAAAAAAACAACTGCTTAGAACTGGCAGGTGAAAAAGGTGGAGGGGGCCGGGGTGAGGAATCACAGATGATATTTAACAGTGACTCTCCTCACCATAATTTTGCAGGAAGCCCAGCTCCACAACAAAGAAAGTTTAGAAAGAATCAAGGATTTTTCATAAACAAGAAAACACTCTCAATCTCTTAGAACAAACAATGATTTTTAATGGAATCTTACCAATTCATATAAGAAATTCGCTAAGAAATCCGGAAAGGCAACAGCACAAACTAGTCTTACCAGTGAAGCACAGTCCTGCATTTCATACAGATATTTGTTTTACGACCTTTTCCAAAGTCAACAAAGCTTTACTGCCTTACACTCAAAGGTGTCCTTAATCTTTCTTATCAGGAAAATTAGCTGCTTTACCATTGAAAACACCTGCCTACAACAAGAATCAGAAAATCACCCCACAGCTGTACAGCCAAAGAGAGACATACCCGGCCCCCAGCCTACCTACAAGTACAGAAAGTGTAGCACTACCAACTCTGACTGCATCATCCTAGGAAAAAAACCAAAAACTTTGGCATTTGTTTGAATTTTTCTTCCCTTTCCACTTAAACAACAGTAGAGCCTCAGTGGAGAGGCCTGGCAGCCTGTGCCGTTCACATGTACATGCTGACTTTTAAGTTCCTGTGAGCAATTCAAATCCAAAACATGAGACACAGAATTACAGTTACTGAAACAAAACAAACATTTTAATAAAATGACCACACTAACTATGATATTTTGCATTTTCAGGGCCAACATAAGGTGCACTGATGTGTAAAAATTGCAGTGACATGTGGCAAGGCATACCACAATTTGGTCTGCGGAGTGACAAAGTATAGCCCTGTTAGACAAGAAATGCAGGGCATATTAATACAAGCAAGGAGAAAAACAAATTAAAAAGGAGTGGCCCCACCATTTCCTTTACAACAACATATTTTAATTGATCTCATCCATATTCTCAATGGATCCAGGTTATAGCCAGAGCATTATTAAAGACTTACAGTTAATCTGATAAACAGTACAATGTAGCTTTTTGTAAAAACAGAATCTCCTGGGTTTTAGTGATTTATCAAATTAATCTTGCAGGGACTTCCTTTGGGTATAACGGATTCAGAATCTCATATTCATAGTCCATCTGTATTTCTATATGAACCCCCTTATTTCCAATAGATGCTTTTCAAACTGTTAACCCCTCCTGTTCTGGTTATAAAAGATTATGCGCATAAAGAAAAAGATATTAAAAATTTGGTTTTGAGGAAGAAATTTTTTTACTACTGCATAACTAAATTACAAATAACGCCCCTACCGGTATGTCATAAAGTAATAAGAAAGACTGATTGTATTTCGTACAAAACCCGAAGGCTCATGAACTTATTTTATGGTCTGTATGTGTCCTATCACTACATAACATACTTTTACATTTAGCTTAGAGTTTAAGAATGCTGAAGAACACCAGGCAACCTGGACTTCATGTTAGAATGCATAAATGATACAAGCACAAACATCTTTGTATTTGGCAAAAAAAGCATTAAAACTTTAGGAAGATTTCAAGTTTAACCAATTGCAATTACAAAAATAAATACCCGTAGTAAAACACATTGGTTTTGGGTAATCTCTTTCATGGTTAGAAAGGTTTGCATACCAGCAGCTTTCAAGTGACCTAAGCACCACAGTCTCACATCTTAGTGAAGTCAAAGCCTGCTGTGGGTTAGCCTTCATCTTACTGACCTTTCGATGCTCTTGGAGATTTGTTGCTGAGGAACATTTCTTATTGCACACTGAACACATCAGCTTCTTCCTAGAATTTCCTGAAACAGAAACAAAATACCACCAACATCTTTAAAAGGAAGTGCTAAGAAAGAACCTAAATATTTCCACTGAGCCTGTGACTTTTCACAGGTCATTTGACTGACACAAGATTTTTACATTTGTATCCCATCTTCAAAGTGTTCAATATCAGGAGTTCTCTGTGGGTGTCCAACAAGCAAGTTACTGATGGAATGTAAATCAAGAAAACTAGAACAATAAAGAGAAAAAAAAACCTTCAAATAGATGTTATCACACATCACCAATCCTATATGGAGAGCACAATTTACAACTAAGAAAACTCACTTTAACTGAGCAGTTGATTTTTTCCAGAAATCAATACAGGAGTTAGTACAGCAATCACAAAAAAGATCCCAAACTGAAGTCAAAACCACCGTTTCCCATTTTTCTTTATTCAGAAAGCATCAAGCATTCTACTATAGAAAATAATATATCATTAGTGGTCTTTAATTGAACAAGACAGGGAAATCATATTAGCATCAGATCATGAATTCAAATCTCGTCTAAAATGTAAGTTACAAAACAAGCTACAGGTTATCTACCAGATGTCTTTTCCTTCCCATTTCGCAGTTGCCTTAAAGAGTGATAGAGCATTTAGTTGGGTTTATCTATTATTTACCTTTTGAAATTCATTTTAGTAACCCACAAAGCTATTTTATTACAAGACAAAGCCACCACAAACCTAGTTATTTGTTCATAATTACATGCCCATGCAAGATATTTCCTAGCTTATGCAAAAAATGTTCATACTACATTGAACACTAAAAAGAATGGACCTAGAACAAAAGAGGAGGGGAGTACTGCTTAGTCAAGCACAGAGGAAGTATGGATCATAAACGAACTCATTAGATGGCTTCCAGCTCAATTTTTCAGATCTTTCCTCTTCTTCCTGTCCTAAAGGATTCTTATGTTGATTCTTCTTACTACAATGTGCCTAGTCAATTGATTGGTTCAATACTTACATTTGTAGCACAAAAAAGTGCTTAATCTCACATATGCATTTGCTGTTATAAAACGTATATTTATATATACTGATATACTCCTAAATACAGGAATATACTTAAGTACTTCAACTTACAAGAACATTAATGAGATCTTTTCAGAGAAGAGAAAGATGACAGTCAATATCTGTTCAAAGCTTTGCATAACAGGCAACACACGTAACAACCTTTTCTACTTCCCCTTGCCTCCAGGTAACACAAGGCAGGAAGGAATTCTAGAAGTGTCCCTCCACAGGAGTAGGTTATTTTCCTTCCTGCGCTGACGCCGGTTGTGATTTCTATGACCCCCAAGCAGTAAAATAAAAGCTCTGCTCCTTGTGCAGGCAGAGCAAAAATATCCTCCAGGCATCTGCTCTCAGACGTGTCTGGAGGGATCATTCAAGAGAATTGTGGAATTTGTACACCACTATGTAACTGACCAAAGTTAAGCCTAAGCATAACAATGCTTGTCGATGAAAAAAATCTTACTGAAAAAAGGAGATAATCCTTTATAAGAGTGGTTATGGAAGGGTTTCTGTATGCTCTAAGAGTTTGGCAGAAGAAAGATTTCATGTAATGAAAATCTTACAAAACATCTCAGTGCTGTCATCATTAACTAAAGACTGTTTTCTTTGCACTCTGGTATTCTGCTGTCCCCACACAGACTGATCTTCCATTGACAATGAGAGGGGACATGCAGAGAGAGCAGAATGCCAGAACTGAGATCTGCATTGTGGACCTGAGAGCAGTATTTTGCTCTTTCATGAAAACAGAGTGAAGTTTGATTGAAAACTATTGATTCACAGTGCACAGATATAAAAACGCTAGGGCCTAACGGGACTAGTGGATTGTCTGGTTTGGCTTCCTGCACAACAGAGGCTATAGAATTTTATGCAATACCCTCATCAAGACTAATCGTTTGTGAAGCATGTCTTCCAGAAAGACATCTCATTGTGTCCTGAAAATGCCAAAAGATCAAGAACTCGCCACTTCCTGTAGCTGTTTGTGCCAGTAGTTGATTTTCCTCACTACTGAAATGTTTCACTTTACCTATTAATTGCCTAGTCTAAGCTTCCCCAGACTCCTATTACATTTTCTGCAGTAAACTAATGATTCATTTGGTATACAGTAATTTCTCCCTGGAGGAGGAGGAATAGTTATTCTCGCAATTAGTTACTTCTTAATTTTCTTTTTGATACAAATGAATCCATTAAAAAAGAAACCAAAGACAATATTTACTCTGATTTGCAAATTTAAGGGTAGGAACACATTAGAGGTTTTTTTCTTTCCAAAGAAACATTAAACTCTTTCTTACCACTGTGAACGTTTTCTTTATGTTTTTTCAGGGCATCCTTACTCTTGAATCTCTTCCCACAGCTATCTGCCTTGCATATGAATCTGGCATCCCCTCTGCATGCCTCCTTGTGCTGTTCATAACTATACGGGATAACCAGTGAAAAAAAAACAAACACACACACATAAAGCAGTATCTACAGAAACCAGACACACAGCAAGTACTCTGAGCTTAACGCATGCTGCACTGCAGAGTTCCAAGGCCACCTCATGCATTACTTACAGTAAACAGGAATGAAAGCATTTGACTTCTTTCACTGTTAGGATTCACATAAACTTCTTTCACTGTTAGGATTCACATAAACTAACAAGCTTGAAAGCTAACATGCAAAGGGAGGCCAGCAATGATATGACAGCAGTCCAGTAACTCAGACACAAAACCTCGATTCTGAGCTGAAGGAAGTATTGCAAACAGAGCACTGAAAACTTCTTGAAGAGTCTCCTGGGCTGATATTCTCTGTGCACTGAAGTACACTACAGAAAAATAATAAACAAAACAAAACACAAAAAACAAAATAAGCGGAACATTCTACAACTTACACAGGCCTGCAGTAGCTAAAAAGATATATACAGCTTTACAAATATTTAAGTAGGTGAGTAATCTATTTCACATGTGAAGTCTCCTAGAATTTAGTGGGACTAATCAAATGCATAGACAGCAAGAGTCATGATCGTATTGCTGTATCCACACACAAATTAATCTTACTGTGCATGATGTAAAAATTTACCTAACTAGCTATACAGCACAAATCCAACTTCCACTATAGACTAGAAGGAACAAGTCTAAGTTCAAGAGAAAACATTTAATTGCCTCCAAATATTTCTCTGCTATGTAATTTTATTTATTGCCATGAAAGAACACAGAGCTCATATAGAGCTGCCAGTTCTAGGAATGTTCACATTATTCAGATGTAAGAAAGATCAGTTTATTACAAGAGTAGCCTTAAGTGTATTCTATGCAATATGAGTCTGTTTCTCTCCAATACAAGAGAGATTAAAAGTACTATCTATAACCACATAAGCATCTGACGTACTATCTGTAGGTAAATGTATAATAAAAAGTAATATATCTAATTGCAAGCAAAAAATACATAACAAAAGACAAAAATACTTGGTTTTGTACAAAAGTATCACTGTAAGCTATATGACTTCAGTGACAAAACTGCATATTTACACTATCAAGGACAGCAAAGATGTGCTCTTAAATCTCATGTCTTTCATGTTTCTATTTGGTTTTTTTCCATCACCCAAATATTTAATTAAGCAAACATGAAGCATTGTTTTTCCTTCTTTTTGTCCTTCTAGATCACTATTTACTTTATTCTAAATCTTACTTTAGTTCCATAATGACATCCACAGCTTAAGAATTACATCTCCTGCACTACTAAATAGTCCACTGATGGAGACCAACAGTTTTGCACCAAACAGCAGCTCTGATAGGGTCTACAGTGTATGATTTTAAAACACAAAAAATTATCTACAACTTTGTGATTCAAATTGAAGTCTCCAACAAATACAACAAATTAACATATTAAAAGACTAATGTAAAGGGTAAGGGTACAAATTCATAAGCACAAAAATTAAAGCTTAAATTGTGATTAAGCCAAGAGAAATAAATGATTGAATGAAATTGATTTAAACTAAAAAAACAATCCTGTTTCTACTCACTGTCTTTGTAGAGCCTGTTTAACAGGGAATTTCTTTCCACAGTTTCGGCACTTAAATTCCTTCTCCTCACTGGGTTTTTGGTGCAAAGTCTGAAGATGTTCAGCTAGAATCTCCTGGCTGGCAAAACTGGATTCACAGTTTGGGCACGCATGGTCCTCTTTACAGGTGAGGGGATCTGCATGATTGGAGGCAAAACCAGTAAAAGAATAGTTTTCAAGGAATATTTTGGTTATTTTAAGGGAGACTCTCTGCCAGAAACAGATTATGCAAAATGGCATCACTAAATTCACAAAAGACAGTATCTCTGAATGGATTATGGACAGCCTATCTTGAGTGGATTACCATCAGCATTATTGAAAACGGATGCAAAGTATTAAGTTGGGTGTGACTTGGCTGTTAGCCTAAATTAGTCATCCAGGTTGCCTCTACTTTGATAAAGATGCTGAGAATTCAGCAGACAGCTCAGGTCACCTACCTTTTTTTAGACATCTTACCTTAGGATTGGTTGAAGAGTTTTATAAAAAGGTTTATTTCTCTCCCATCTAAGTAAAAGTGAAACTACCCCTCTTAGAGCAAAAACTTAGCTTTCTTAAGACCCTGTCAGGTGAAATGAACTCTGTCTTTAGTTCAAAAATTAATGGTAACTTCTCATGAAACCTAGGCTCACTCATTCACTCAGTAATTCATAGGACTGGCTGCTTCTTATTAGGCAAAGAAAAGAACCACAACTCAAACCAAATTAGAGAGCTAAGAATCATACAAGAGCTCAGACTAAACCTGGAGAGCCTTCAAGTTCCCCAGTCCTACACAGTGTTCTCTTTCTTCTTTGTTACTAATTTTAAGCTCTCAAGTTATCCTATTTTTTACATATTGCTCACCTGCAATTTTTTCACTAGCTGGTTGAACTTCTTTATTGTTGCCATTGTCTTCATCTTCCTGGATAACGGTTACTTCTTCTTCCTCCTCCTCCTCTTCTTCCATGTCACTGTCCAAGTACCCGATCAGAAGTTCTGTGTCTGTTTCAATATCTTCTACAGCCAAATAGAAAATATTTTCCCCTTCCTGTTGCAAACAGTAAGTAGAAGCAATAAACAATTATGTCAGAAAAAGTAAAACCTAGAGACATCTGTGAGACTCTGAACTAATATTAACTCTCAACTATGTAAGGGCTGGCTCCATTCCTCAAGGAGCACAATGCTAGAACAGCCTTTCTAAGACTTCTTTCCCAGTGTGGCTGCATGGATAAAGTGCCCTTGTAACCTGGTATTCTGGAAATATTCCCCTGCCTCACCTCTGAGACTTTTCCAATATGCACTGTAGCTTAGACCAAAGTGAAGGTGGTGTTAAAGTCCTCCTCTCCTGCCACACTCTGCCTGACAAGAATTTCAGAGTTTGAAAATGAAATATTTGAGTATTAGAAAAATAACAATATTTAAATAATCAATACAGCTTTAGCTCTGTCCCCTGTTGGCTGCATGAATTATAACCCAGCTTTCAGTAGCATGTTTACATCGCATTTTCTCTCTCTCTCTCCTTAAGATTCCCAGCCTTCTTCATGAACAGGCTTTCAACCCTGGTCAGTTATCTTCACCATAAAGTTAGCAGGCACATCTTAAAACGTACTTTAAACCATTAGATCAAAACCAACTCCTGGTTTAAATCAGGGTAGATACACAGATCCACAGAAGGTCAAAGATGCAGCCCAGATTCTGCATGAGAGGGCAAACTACATAATAATAAGCTCCAAAACCTTCTCCACAGTGAATAAACAAGCTTCCAAATACATACATAAGCGAACAACTTTGACAATATTTAATTAAAGTTACCAAGATTGGCACAGGGGGGAATCTATAGCAAAACCATCTGTCTCCTAAACTAACATACAGAGCTGCTTTTTCTTTTTTGCCATATGTGAACCAACTGCTTTAGGTACTACCCAAAGCACCAAAGGAGTCTCATTTCTATGCAGCGAAGACTTCCAAGTTCTATCATAAATTTTAAAGCTTATCTGATTAACATCCAGAAAAGTTAACTGAAGCTTCTTTATACTACATCTACCCATATATTTTGTAACAAGCTTCCTAGCACAAGGACAAGATAATGATTTTTAATTTTTGTAATATACTAAGATTAATTTAAACTGTCAACAGCGATGTAGTATTCCTCAAGCTTTAGAAGGTCTGTTATATATTACACAAGATATTGTCACAGAAGAGTGAAATCTATTTAATTCAATTGACTTGATACAGCTGCTGCTTTCAAGGACATACCACTTTTCTGTCCTTATCTCAACAGCAGCATTTGAAAACAAAACAAATTATGCAATTTTTTTCCAAGATATATTCTGCAGTCCAGATACCTATCAGCATGCCACCCTAAATGTTGCACACATCTAGGAGTTGCTGTTTTTCATATGCCCCTGTCAAGTTGCAGAGACCTTTAATTTACTACAGTCTAAACTCAAAACAAATTATGTACTGAAACTCTTGACATGAGGAAAAATAAAAGGTCTTTCTACACTCAGTCTCCACTTAGACAGGATAAAACCATTGGGGTAAATCTCCAATACATCACTGTTTAGGACAATCTTATTCTAAAAGCAAGACAACCTTATAAATGGAAGCACACAACTATTACTGGCTTGCCAAAAAAATTAAAAAAAAAAAAAAGTCATGTATCCCAGGCAAAAATAAAGTCCCAATCTTACTCATTAAAGACAGAAATAGCACATCTTTCAATTAGATCATACATGACACATCTTATACCACACAGTAAATCTGGGAGAACAGCAACCAGAACTAATTATCCAGATTAACCTAGACCAAGTGTATGAATCTCAGTAACCAAGCTCTTATCAGTACTGCTGCATCCTCACCATCTCTGTACTTCCTATATGTGCATCTGGGGCTTATTTTATAGCTCTGTGTCTAAAAACATACTGGTTCTTTCCTATTTGCGTACTTTTGATTAGTAAAAAGATTAATGGAAGAAGCAGTAAGGACTTTCAACACTTGAATGCTCTTGGTTGCATTTGCATTGAAAAGAAATTACCTTTGGTGTTAGCCCAAACTTAAACACAGCTCAAACTCATCTCTCCTCCAAGGCTAATGTGTTTGGCTTTTGCAGCCAAACAAATGTCAGGTATTCCGAGCACTAATTAATCCAGATATACCCACACTGTAGTAGTTCTTCAAAGCAGCATTTTCAGTGAAACCAAAGGAAATTCTCCAGAAACCACAAAGGAGTTTAGGTCTCTCCCTCCACCAGTAGCACCTGCATGAAGCACATTTATCTACATGCATGCAGACACAGTGATCGTAGGAAGAAATCTTTCAAGTATTCTAATAATCTTTAATAATCTTTAATAATCCTCCCATTTCTAAGAACACATCTGCAGTTGTTCCACCTGCCCATCTGCTCAGGCCATGCTGGCTGTTTTGCTAACAACGTTCATCTGCAGTGGGCCATAACCGTCCTTGGGAGAAGACTCCAAGTGCTAGTCATGGCGGCATCACAACCTCCCTTCACACTACTCCTGGTTTATTATTCCACTTTCCTTCTCTCAGCTCTCACCTTGACTGTCATCTTTTAAGCTATGAGCCACACTGACCTGCCCAGCAAATACAGTTTTCTTGTTCCAACAGCTTTTGCTATCCCACTTTTCCTCCACTAAGGGCATCTCTCCCATGCAGATTCTTGGTTTTTCCACACAGTTACACACCTTCACGTATGCCTTGTAAGAGGGAAGGTTGTGAGGCAACATGGGCCAAGAAGCATTGACAGCCCACTACACTTTCATCCAAAAGTGTAAGATAGACATGTCGTCATTCCTGAAACCTGAAAACACAGGAGGAGGAGGCAGATAGTCTTGTGTTACCTAAGGGAGAGCAGGGCTTTTGCATTCTCCAGAGCTTGATCAGCTGGCTCCAACCCAGCCTTCCTAATTCTCATCAAGCTTCCCCCCGTGCCCACAACCACTCCTCTTGAAGTGATACCCGGCTTCCCTCTAAACCCAACTTCCTGGCAGCAAGAGAGCTCTTCAGCCTACCTGTTCTGCCAGTTCTCCTTTGCTACCTCTCCAAACAAGCACACTCCCTGATCTTTGCCTGCAGCTCCACGATGTCATGTTTTCCAAAGCAAAACCAATCCTGGCAGTGTCTGTGAGGTCAAAAACCCCAATCCAGGAAATGTGCGGAGGTGATTTCTTGGGGGCTGTGGCAGAAGACAACAAAACCACAAGCTCAGGCACAGGAGAGGTCAAAAAAATGGCCTGCAGTGCCAGCAAAGACATGATCAGAATAACGATACCTTTGCAAGAGGGAGAGGGATCAGATGCCCCCAGGGGGGAGTGGGTGAAGCAAGACAGTCTTCCAGAGGTGCTACTGGGGACCAAGAGACCCTTGCCCCTCTCAAGCAAGGAAGGAGAAATGGATGGCACAAATAGACTGGGGGAAGCTTTTCTTGTTTTCACACTAGTTCATACATTGGAAAATGCTTGACTGTTTAACTCTGTCCCACTCAGTCTATTCCTGGGTGGGCAGCATGTTTGTGACTCTCATCAGCCATGAAGCAGATGGATGTTCAGAGAGACTTCTCTTCAGAATAAGCAAAACAAAACACCTTTAAGACACATGTGTAACGGAGATGTTCAGCCTAGGAACTCAGACTATATCTGATCTGAAGTATAGCACCTGAACCACACACAAAGGGACACACAAGCCTCAGCTCTATCTACTGATCTATTCCTATTGTGCTGTATCACATGGTAAGGTAGACAACTTCTGAGACGTAAACATGAGATTAAACTAGTACGGCAATTCCTACGTATTTCCTGTGTTTTCATTCCATATTGCAGTTCTTAGTGATAGCTCCTGGTGAAGGTTAGAGTATTTTTCCAGCTGAATATTCAGTATCACAGTAGATTTTTTTTTCTTCTTTATTCTTTAATGCAAGATAATAACTGCAACTGAATTAGAAGCCATTGCTTTTAGTTTCCCATTCTTCTGAATGTGTTTTACTACAGTAATGATACTATGTATCCAAATCTTGCAGTTAAACTCCTCAGGAATTTGAATCACGTGTACAATAGCAAGACAAACCAGAGCTGGAAGAATTATTTTTTTTCCCCCTGCCCAAAGGTATTCCTCCCACCTTTCACTGTACATTTAAATTCAGTACACATTTTCCAATCTTCCAGCTTAAAAATAAAATATTCTTGTTTCTCTGTGGGGAGAACAAAAAACTAAAGTTGCACTTCAGAAAACTAATTCCGGCAACATCACAAATCTGGCGGCTCTATAGAGAAGCACTAAACTTTTGAGTCGTCTTCTCGCCGAAAGCTTTTGTTGTGAAAAGACAGACACTCCCCCCCCGGCCTTGGGAAGTTTGGTGTTAGCAGCATTTTAATGGCAGGGGGGGTAGGTGCCCAGTATGGCACCCCTTCTAGTACCGGCAGATATTAACAAGCCTACAGGATCCTGAATTGAGGCACTGCAACTTACTCTTGGGAAGTCTCCTTTAGAGGCTCTGTGGAAAACACCACCTTAGTATTAAGAGAGCCTAAAGTCAGAAATTAATTACATTTAAATTAACAAAAAAGATTCTGTAACCTCAGTGCTGAAAAGGGTCTAAATGATTTTCACACTTACAGTTGCTTGGTATTACTGAGGTTCCTACCGCAAAAAAAATCAAAAATGTAGCAGGGATAGTTTAAGGAATTTCATGGGAAAAAAACACTTATTTCACTCTTCAGAAATTTCTTATTTTGAATTCTTCAATAACAGAATAGCTGAACAGCACTAGTATGTATTCAACAACTGATAAATGCATATGACCCTGGAATTAAGAACCAAGCAGATTTCTAGTTCTCCCCTCTGAGCATGCAGGAAGCCAACAACTATGTTTATGTTCCTTCTTGCATTGCATAACGAATTAATCTTTCCTTTGTAACACTCAAGCCACCAGTAAGTTTCAGGTAGTCCTTAAAACTGTTTTGTAATACGTAAATTTACTGAGTGGCCTAACACAGTTTGTGCTTGCTTTCCTTCTGCCTTCTCCTCTCT